GGGTCCACCAAAGCAGTCAGGCACACATCTGAGCTCGGCCTTTCTCTCTAACCCAGTAGTTTTGGGATCAATTTGCTCCCCCACCCCACCCCAGGGATATTTGGCATTGTCTGTAGAATGTTGGTCCTTACAACCAGAAGGGAGGGAGGTCTATGTGTGTTGATACTACTGGCATCTAGAAGGTGGAGGCCAGAGCTGCTGCTAAACATCCCATGATGCACAGGACAACCCCCACAACAAAGTATCACCCAGTCTAAAATGTCAACATGCAACGGTGGAGGAACCCTGTTCTACCAAATCCTGCTTTTTCCCTTCTCTTTCATAGGTATTGGTCCCAAAATCATTCTGTACCAAACATCCTGCACCCTAAATTCTATCACAGAGTCGGCTCACTGGGGAAGTTACACAATAGCATCTAGAAGAAACCATTCGGTTTTATACATGTATACGAGAGAGGCAAAGTAGTATGTACATCTATAAATTTATTAGCATAAACAAAACTGGAAGAATATACAGAGGTTATTTTAAAGTAATACTCTTATAAGTGATTCTTGTTGTTTTCCTTTGTGTTCAAATGCCTGAATTTTTCAAGATTTGTGTTTTGTTCGTGTGTGTGTGTGTGTGTGTGTGTGTGTGTGTGTGTGTGTGTGTTTGCTTTGTTTTGTTTGCATGAAGTATATGTTACTTTTACAGTCTGTGAAGAGAAAATGTTGTAAATTCAAAAAAAAGGGCATGACCAATGGTATTAATTACTGCAGAGAGGCCAAATGATAGCAGATAGAAAAAGAAAGTGGTAACACTGGTGAGACAGTTGTACTAGAATGCATGTACCCAAAGAGAAACGGCTGTGAGGTAAATGAAAAGTAGACGAAGAAATAAAGGTATTTCACTTGTTATAGACATATAACTAAAAAGAGAGGTAAAGAGATAGATTAGAAAGGAGAGGGGGGTGACAATCAACCCAAATGATTTTAAAGATCAGAGAACCTGAGCAAGTTTGATGCTAATGGGGAAGGGGCCAGAGAGAGAAAGGCGATGATGTGAGAGGCACATAACTGAGGAGCAAGGTGCCCGTGAGGTTGTGGGATTGCATCCAGAGAACAACATGACTAGGTTGACTTGGGAAGAATCAAAGATATCTCTTCCTCTAAGCCAAGAGGCATGCTGAGTTCAGAGTTCAGATAGTGATACATTTTGAAGTGATGAAATCTATGACTGGCCATCTTGATTTTATCAGTAGGAGGTGAGGTCATCCACTGAAAGAAGTGGGGGGCGGTGTCTGACCGGTGGGGTACAGGCTTGAGAAGAAGGTGAAATCAAATAGAAATTGTAGGAAAGGACCTGAGAGGGGCCTGAAGCTGGGGGTGCTAGGGGGTACTCCTGGGAAATTGCTCATTCCTTGAACCAGCTCCGAAGAAAGAATTCAGGACTGTTTGCAGGTGGTTTAGCACCACTTACTTTTCAGGCAAGGGGTCTGGTTCCCACACAGTTTGTCCACAATGCTCAGGTGGCAGATGGGTCAGGAGGAAAGAGTTCCAAAAAATCCTGTGAGATGAGCTATGGCTTCCCACACATGGCAGGATTATCTACACCTGACACCTGTACATCTCTAAGGGGAACTTTAGGGCCAGATAACATAGTCTGGGATTATTCTGGGCTACTTCCTGTGTTAGGTAATGGCCTCTGTAGATTTCCTTACCGTGGGGGATTTAAAGAAACTCTATATTTTCTCACCACGCCTTTTGGTATCCTTCCATCAATCCCATCTCCTATGGCTGGGATAAGTAGAAGCAGAGTTCTACAAAGCATAAACAAGAAGACGTGTCCTGTGGAGCATTTCCTCCTGGCACTATCTCTCCATTCTTCCCAGACACACCAGAAACCACAACAGGATATATGAGACTACTATGACATATGGCCTTAACAGACCGTGGGATTTTAGATGACTTGCTTAAAGTTGTTGTTCTCATCCAGGGCAATTTCCCCCCTCTTCACTCCAGGGACATTTGACAATGTCTGGAAATATTCTTGGTTGTCATAAATGGGAGCAGGGGACGCATCCAGTGGATAGAGGCCATGGATGCTTCTAAACATCCTACAATGCACACAATAGTCCCCAAGGTATTACCCAACCTCAAATACCAAATGTGTCAAAAGAGAGAAATCATGCACTAAATAGTTCCTCACCTGATGGGACCCTTTAAAGTTGTGCTACAACTCATTTAAAAATTATTTTAAAATGTGAAGTTTATGCCTGGGACAAATAAAATACCAGAGAAGAGGATGGGAATGGTGGCATTTATAAATTTCCACCAGATGGCGGTAAAACCTAAATGAAAAATCCAAGCTCCTCTAGACTCCATTTCAGAATTCAGTTTCTCCCCCTGACCAACCCTCTGGAGAAGCAATGCCTTTTCTTTTCAAATAGGAAAGTCATTTTTTTAAGGTGCTTAGTGTTCCCTGCCACCAGTATTTTTATGCAAGTGATTTTAAATGAATAATGACTAAAACTCAGCCTGGAAGATAAAAAGAACAGGGTCACTTCCTCAAGCAACTGCAAAATTTCCCCTCCGGGTAGCAAGAAGGGCATGGAATAATCTTCTTCTTCAGCCAGCTTGTAGCTGGGCACCTGGCCACCTGCAAAACAGCCAATTCCAAGACTCTTTTACCCTTAGGATGGCTGAGTAATGAAGTTCAGGCCGTTAGTGGGATGTGAGCAGAAGTGTTGAGGGCCACTTCTGGGTAGTACCTTTAAAGCAGTGTCCCCTAGTGGACATTTTGCAATATCTGGGGACATTTTTGGTTGTCACAACTGGGGCATGCTACTGGCATCTGGTGGGTGGAAGCCAGGGCTGCTGCTAAACTTCCTACAATGCACAAGGCAGCCCCCAGAAAACAGAATTATCCAACTCCAAATGTGAATAGTGCCAAGGTTGAGAAACCTTACCCTAGAGAGAAGGGACATAGACCTGTCTTCCCTTTTTCCCCCTTCTCAATGACTGGAAGAAAGGTGCAGTGGTGTACCACCTTGGACCATGTGGCCCAAGGCAAGAAAGCAGGGAGGGTAGAGCTACAGACAAGCGGAATTTGAGTTCTTAGTCCTGTGAAGCTTCCAGATCATGGACTCTACATCCAGTCTGCTGAGACAGAAATACACTTCTCAATTATCTGAGTCACTTATCTTCTGGGTCTCTGTGACAGCAGCAAAAATATGTCCTAATACCATGGTATTCTGTCTCTTTCTCTCTCTTTCTCTTCCCATCATTCATTGTATTCCAGAAACTGCACTACCTGAAACATATCTACTCCAGGCCTGCCTTTCCCAGAGACCCTTTCAGCTTTTTCCCTATCTTACACTTCTCCTCTTTCCTTCCTCTCTTAATGTTGGTTTCTTCCCTGAGGCAGAGATTCCACCAGGCCCCACTTGACTTATCTGCCTCAATCCAAATCTGACTTTTCCCAGAAGGCACCGCACTCCTACCATCCCCTCTTTCTATCCATTCATATCTCATTTTCTACCATGTCCATTTTCTAAACAGTGGAGGAGGAATGTTGTCTAAAATAATCCCTCAATTTGCACATACTTTCTGGTAACTTACCCTGCTATAATCGTCATATACCATGATATATAATTATATTTCTCTGCATATTATCTATGCCCTACCCAATAGACTTAATTTTATGAGGTGAAAAACTGGCTTGTTTACCCATGTATATCCAGTAAATAGCATACCACTGTTTAACAGAAGTATAAGGCATGCACACAAATTAACTTTAAAAGTTCTAGTAGCCACACATAAAGTGAAAAGATAAAAACGAAATTAATTTGAATCTTTTATCTAACCTAATTAGTCCTTCCCTAAGGTGTTATCACTATAAAGAAATTGAGATATTTAACATTCTTTTTCTCATACAAATTCTTCAAAATCCAGTGTGTAATTTACCCTTCCAGCACTTCTCAGTTCAGACTACCACAGTTCAAGTTCTCACAGCCACATGTAGGGATACCATAATGGACAGGGCAGCTACAGAATAACGCTAGGCACAAAGTAGGCACCCAGGATGTATTTGTTCAAGTTAATGATCTTCTATGCCATTTTGATTCTTCCATATGGATAACATGGCAATATTATCCACAATATTAATATCGCCCAATTGACTTAGCCATTTCTGTGGGGCACTTTAGGTTGTTTCTAGTTTTCATCTTTTAAAATAATTCTGCAATAAACATCTGGTTCACGCTTGTTTTTCATTGAAATACATTTCCTGGAAGTATGCCCCTTTTCAGGGCTCTTGCCACATTTTGCCCGGTTACTTCAGAAAGGATAGCCCACTTGAGAGTTCCAGTTGTTCATGCTTGGTTGTTAATGCCTTTCTTATGACGCTAACATGGCAGGAACTGCTGATGATAATTATAACAAAACTATGAATAGGTACTTCTTGGGGGTCTGCTATAACGCACCAGGCACTGTGCGTTAGGTTATGCACATCTTATGGGTAAGATACACAAGGCTGGAGAAGTTTAAAAAACCAGGCAGTGGCCTTGCACTCAAACTCAGATCTCGGGGAGTCTATTTTCAAAGACTGGGCGTTTTCCCCCAGGGCCACAATCACCTTCCGTTTCAGTTAAGAAAGAAAAAAAAATACAAAGGAAGAAAGAAAGGGCTAAATAAAGACAAGAGAACGAAAATGAGACAGTTGAGGAAAGAACAAAAGTTAAAGCCTTGAGACGAGAGCTTATGCAGAAGCGACCCCCTTCCTCCTGTCCCGTCAAGTCCATTGC